GAACTAAACAGCAAGAAACTAACAATTTAAAAATGGACAAAGGGGGGCCTGGGATTTAGCTCAGTGGTTTGGCTGCCGGCCTCACAAGTACAAGGACCCAAGTTCAATTCCCAGTACCCCCCAAAAAAGGACAAAGGACTAGAACAGACATTTCTCAAGAGAAGGCATGGAATGGCCAACAAGTATACGAAGAAATGCTCAACGTCACTATCATCAGGGACACCAATAAAAGTGAGAATCACAATTAGATACCATCTCACACATGTTTAGAATGGTTTTACTCAAAAAAGACAAAGATGACAAGTATTGGCAAGGATGTGGAGAAATTGGAACCCTCATGCATTGTTGGTGTGAATGCAAAACACACAAGTTCTATGAGAAACAGTGTAGGGGTCCTCAAAACATTAAATATAGAATTATAATATGATCCAGCAATTCTACTACCGGATATATACCCCAAAGTATTGAGAGAAGGTACTCAAAAAGTACTTGTTCACTGTTGCTCCTAGCAGCATTATTCACAATAGCCAAAAGGGAGTAAAATACAAATGCCCACTGGGAGGTGAAGGGGTGCAGACAGCGAGGTGCATACCTACAGCCGGAAACGGCAGAGTCCTGACAGATGCTATCCCAGAAGTGAACTGTGAAGACTCAGCACCAGGTCACACACGCCAGATGCAAAAGAACAAATAGTGTAAACACTAGGATCTCAAGTACCTAGAGCAGGTAAACTCATACAGCCAGAAAGCAGAGAGGTGGACGCAGTCCTGAGGCTGAGAGAATGGGGAGCGAGTGCTTCACGCGTGCAGCGTGTCTGTTTGGGATGGTGAGAAGTTCTGTGAGTGGATGATGGTGAAGGCTGCACAACACTGTGAGTAGATTTAATGCCCAGCAGCATGGACAGTGGTGGAGGAAGAATGATCAGCAAAGCCATGACAGAATAACTCAAACTTCAGGGATCACCAACGGTGCACAGACACATGGGGTTTCTTGTTGCATCCCTCTTTGGTAGATCCCCCAAACCAGTGAAAGTATAAACATTGCCCTCCAACCATGCAACAGCATGGACAGTGGTGGAGGAAGAATTGATCGGCAAAGCCATGAGAGAATAACTCAAACTTCAGGGATCACCAACGGTGCACAGACACATGGGGTTTCTTGCTGCATCCCTCTTTGGTAGATCCCCCAAACCAGTGAAAGTATAAACATTGCCCTCCAACCATGCACATTACAAACAAGCAGTTCAGAAACAAACATGCTATCTGAACGCTTTCCCTGAACCTGTAGGCATAGTTAGTAATTTGTGATCTCTGCATTTAAAAGTCTATGTGTTGGGAGAATCTAGATCCCAGAGCCAATTTTATTTTTACACCAATTTAGTTGGCATTTTTTGAGCACATACTGCACACCAAGTCCAGAGCTGGCCATTAGTGGTGCTGAAGATTGCTCACAATGAAGATAACTATCAACCAGGAAAGACTTCGGGAGAATAAGAATCCCTCCTCCTTACCATGCTGCTTTGGTAAGAGATATGTCGGCTATCCTAATCTGACCAAATTTTTAAAATGTGACAGAGCTGTTTGCACTTTGCACAATGTGAAGACACAGCACAAGGGCCGTCTACCAAGCAGAGCTGTGCCTTCCAGATATGCAACCTTCCAGGGCCATGACCCAGCCTCCAGAACCGTGAGCCATATGTTTCTGTTGTTTGTAAATTACTTGTCCTCAGGTATTTTGATTCAGCTTCCCAAATAGACTATGACAAAAATGTTTCCCTAAAAAATTTCAATGTAGCAGCAAAGCTATTCTTTTATTTCACAATCATAATAAAAATCAAAATTCACATTCAATTCAAAGAAAAAAAACACACTAACTCAATTTTTTTTCTGCAATAAAAATGTCAAATATCCACCTTCCTGAAAAAACAATTCATAAAGATTCTACTTTTCACTTTAATCGAGTCTGACAAAATAATTCAGTGATGTTTAATAAATCCAAAACCTAAATTGTTTAAATTTAACATAACTAAATACTTTCAATATCATAACTGCTTTGTTCCCTTTAACAAGGCAGATATCTCAAATTTTCAAAATATCAAATTCAATACAATAATAAATGAGACAGCTATGAAAATGTATCTATTTCTCTTTGAAGAAGCTTCAACAATTTCATGGATCAGAAGGGAATTACAATCTCAGGTCTATAATTTTAATGTGCCATCTATTTTTTAATCAACTAACTGATTTTTAAAATATTTTTTGGAAAAAAAATGTGACAAAATTACACATTTAAAAAAAAAAACTTGCATCCCATGATTGCATTTTCCTTAATATTTTAATGGTAAACATTACTTCTTAAAGTTTGCCTGTTCACTTAGTACATTGTTTCTGAATGATTATCAATTATTTGCTTAACTATTATTTATTGAGCATCTACTATAGGCCAAGCATTGTATTAATGTATCCAAAGCTTGCCAAGAGGGAGCTAAGGGGAAAACAGGAAACAAGAGTATATGAAAACAAAAAGAAAAAGAGCCTAATCTTTCTTTTTGCCCTCAAGGAGGTGAGTTGGAATACAGCTGTGTAAGGCATAACAGGAACCCAAGGATAAGATAACTTTATGAGTAATGCATAACACCAGATATTGGGAACTTCAGGGTATAAAAGGATACATCCCTGCCTTTGTTAAGCTTTAAGGTAAAATATATACTCAAATAATACAAACCCATCAAGGTGATAGTGATACGCACCATTCAAGTGATATAAAAATATAAATTGCTAAAAGACTCCTCTCACATCTGGCTGGAAGTAATAACAAAACAGCCTTGTATGGAATACATTCCAAGAGTCAAGAACCTTGCTGAAGTTTCTGTATACATAATTTTTAAATCTGTGGGTCAAGAATCACAGACAGATTCCATTGGTTCTACCTCCTGACACATTCTTGTGGGATTCTCCTTTCCGTGAGGGTGGGCAGAATCTGAGAATTTCTTGTGGTCAGGAGAATATGACAGAGGTGATGAGATGTCATCTCCTTGACTGTGATACACAACACTTGCAATATCTGTTTTGCTAGGACATCTTTCCCCCATCCAGCTTTGAGTAAGCAAGAGACCACATGGTAAAAACCTGAGGGTGACCTTCATCCTCCAGGGAGCCACAGCAGGTCAAAAGGCCCTGAATTCTCCCACCTTGGAGTCGAACTCACACGCACTTTGGAAGTGTATCTTTCCTCAATTGAGTCTGCACAGAAGACGCAGCCCTAGCTAACACCAGATCACAGCTTTTGGGAGAGCCCCTCACCAAGGCCTTCTCTGGAAGCACAGAAGCTGTGAGATTATAGTTAATGACTATTTTAAACTATGAGTTAGGCATAACAATAAACAACTAAGACTGGTATTATTATGCCTTTTTCAAATAGAGAAACTAAAGTTTTTAGAAGATATGATCAAAAAGAACCAGAAATTAAGCCCAAATCCAAGTTCATACTCTTTATAGTACCTTTTTATGAAAAGGCAGCTGCGTGCACTAAGTCATAAGGTAGGTGGAGAGATAAGAAGGTCATTTCTAACTGACAAATTGTGTTAAGTGAAAGCCAGAGACAGAATGAGAAAAAAGACCAACTCAAGGGGAAGAGAGAAGGTAAGCGTTCACCATAAAGCAAAGTCACAACTCTGACATGCGCTACCCTCCAGGCTTTTCTCATATAAAATATTTTCTTGTTAAAGATCACTTCTTGTTTCCAACCAATATAATAATGCAATCAAAAGAATTCAATATTGCAGGCAAGGCAAGTTTGAGAAAAGAAATTTGACTTTCACTAGGTAGGGAAGGCATTACTTATCTGTATTACCCATAACCTGAAAGGAGATTACATTTACCTGCCCCTTGGTGTAGCAACTCACCTGTGCTGCCTGTGATCCTGTACCAGGAATGTACATCCTGGCTGAGACGGGAACAGTGAAACGTGAGCAAGTGGGGCCTGTGTCGTGGCTAAGCAGATACTTTAATAGCAGTCCTGAGTTTTCACCAGTATTCCGTCCTTTGCATCTGCCACATCCCAAAATGTGGTACACTTCACCGGGATTGTAAATGAGCAGGCAGAAGGAGCCTGCTACCACTGGGAAAGAAAGTCACAGGGGGACCCAGCCACCATCACTCAAGCGCCAGGAAGAAGTCTGGGCCCTGATCCACCGTGGGAAGGAGAACCACACCTGCCCCCGACCCAGGTGGGCTCAAGCACCAGGAAGGTAGCCACACGGGCACCCCTGAACCCCCATAACCCCCCCACCAGCACTCTCAGTCCTCCTGACTGTGCCAGTTTTTGGACCCACTCTGCAGAGGCAGAGGTGGTTATCACAGGTATTTTTCTGAGTTCTCAATTTTGAACATCTTTAAAGAAAGGGCATGGGAAACCTGTAATAGAATGTTGTGGAGTTCAACCATTCAGAAGGCTGGGGAACTTAAATCTGGGCCTTGCAGCCCGAGGTCAGTCAGCATCACTGGGTTCAGCCATCAGCTAACTGAGATCAGGGGTCTTGCATCCTCGCTCTGTCTGAGCCATTAAATGGTAAATACACTATATTGAAATTTTGTTCACTGCAGACATGTTCTGGACTGCTTCTTGATTTCAATTTAATTCAAATGATTTAAGGGTGATAGACTAGTGACTACCACAGGTGGTCAGTGTCCAAGTTGTGCTTGATCTTAATGTGTTACTGATTGTATCAGTTGGGGTAAAGCATTGAGGTTGATTTGATGAGCTGTTTTCTCTGATGTTATGAAGATGAGAATGTCTG